GGGGGGGGGGGGCCAATGACTATACATCTTTACAGACTGTAAACCACTGTTGGCCACTATTATTACTAAAGCTGCCACTGTGGTTGAGAGCTGCCCCTGGTTTAGTGGCAACTCCGGTGGATTTGAGTTAAAGCCAAAACCCAATAGTTCTGGTACCAAAGAGCTGAAATGAGACTGAATGGACTAGGCTGACTCTTAGGGCGCCCCCTCTGACAGTCCCCCGCAAGAAGAGCTCCAAGTTCTCTTGTAGTAAGTTTAATGTCACTGGGGAGCAGAGGACGAAGGACGGTGGGTTCCCTCCGTCAGCCACCCGCGAGGCTGAGTGGGGGTTCCGTGTCAGAATCTGCTCGAGCTAACGTGCTGTGGGTACCACACGTCCCCATTTGCACTCTTCGTGTGACTCAGACAGAAAGGTGCTGGGTAGTCCCCCTACAAGTAGGGAAATGATTCCTAGCTTCCTCCCTCTCTGCCCTTCCCAGTCGCCTGGACTTGCCGTACCTGAGACTCCCACCTCTGCCACCAAGAGGTCATCGCTGGAGGCCGAGTTCTCAGCCAGACGCTTGAACTCATCCTGCTTCTCACCGTAGGGATACTGGGTGTCGAACTTCACCAGGACGAACTTGCTTTTGGGAATGACCTGAGGGTGTACAGAGTTGAGTGGGTAGGGGGTTCCAGGAAACTTTGGGGCTAATTGCCTTTCCCAATGGACCCCTGGTTAAGAAACAGGGTGAAAACCAAGCCCACAAGGGAGACAAGCTCTCAAATACTAATATTCATTCATTCACCCATTGATTCATTTAACAATTTAGTGGTGCCTACTATGTGCTGGGTGCCCCATTAGGTGCTTGTTCACACTAATCAAAGGCATATACAACCCTGTCTAGAATAAATAAACCTATAGATGTACTAAGGCCTTCTCCAGTGGCCCTTTGATAAGTAAGGCCAAGGAGACCCTTAGCACACAATGCTGTAGCCGATCATGCCCATCGTCCCAGGGGGGGCCTTCCTCAAAAAAAAACCCACCACTGAACCAGAAATCTGACAAAAAACCAGCAACTAATCATCTGTAAAGGAGATGGCACCATGGAGGATGCTTTGGCTAGGGAGCCCACAGTTTGAACTCTGCAATTTTGAGGCTCAAGGGGAGTTGCTGAGATGCCAGGCTTGGGACAATGTCCCCTCCCTAGATCACAGTAACCTCTGACTAGATCTGTAGGTACTAAACTGTCAGGCCAAGACCTGTATTTTAATTGTAAAATTCACTTCACCATTTTAGCCATTTTAAAGTGCACAATCCAGTGGGATTTTGTACATTAACAATGTTGTGCAACCATCACTAATACCTAGTTGCAGAACACTTTTATCACCTGAAAAGGAACCGTGTACCCATTAAGCAGCCATTCCCCAGTCCTCCTTCCCCCCAATCCCTAGCAACCATTAATCTGCTTTCTGTCTCTATGAATTTGTCTGATCTGATGGAATCATATAATATGTGGCCTTTTGGGACTGCCCTCTTTCACTTAGTATGTTTTCAAGGTTCATCCATGTTGTAGCGTGCATCAATATGTCATTCTTTTGGTGGCCAAATAAATACTCCATTGTATAAATAGACCAGTTTGCTTAGCCATTCATCAGTTGAGGGATGTTTGGGATGTTTCAACCTTTTGGCTGTTTGTGAATAGTTACGAACATTCATGTACAAGTTTTTGTTTTTTACACCTGTATTCATTTCTTTTGGATATACACCTAGGAGCGGAACTGAGGGGTCGTGTGGTAATTTTACACTTAATGTATGGAGGCGTCCCAAGAACTTCTTTCGATGGTGTCTTCCCATGCACAGACTTAATCTAACAAACTGCCTTTGGTCAGTAATCCTGCCTCTTCTTCTAACAACTTTCTGTTTTTCTATCAAAGTGATCATTGCCAGTCAGTATTTCATCACAGGCAATCACTGTCCTAATTAAGGCAAGCTGACATCATTCCAGTTACTGTTAGTCGTTGTTCCTTATTGTGTGTTGGTATCCATTTACTTTTAGGTTTTAAAAAATATTTCACACTGCCTAGGGGCACAAGGGAAGAGGGAGAAGCCACTGGAACAGGTCATCTCTAAGTGGCCAATGACCCCCAAAATTCTGAGCTCTGGGGGCCTAAGAGCAGGGAAGTCTCAAAATATAAACCAGATCACATCCCTCTGGCCCAACTAGCTTTATTTCAGTTCAATACACCAAACTCATTCCCACTTAGGGCCTTTTCATTTGCTCTCTCTGCTCCCTGGAATGCCCTTTCCCCAGTTCCTTCCATGGTTGTCTATCATTCAAAGCTCTGTTCAAATATCCCTCCCAATGGAGGTCCCCTCCACTCAGACTATCTAACGCTGCTTCATTTCCATCACTCTATCTCTTACCCTGCTCTACTTTCTTCACTGCATTTAATCACTCTGAAATCCTTATTTGCTTGTCTGTTACCTGTCCTCTCCACTAGAATGTACACTTATGAGAATAAGGACCTTGTCTGACCTGTTTTCGACTGTATCCCTAGTGCCCAACAGGACCAGTATGTAGCAGATGCTCTGAAAATATTTGCTAAATGAACAAAACTAGGACAGACTTTGGTAGCAGATTCTACATGTTCAGTGGGAAAACAATTAAAAAAGCACCAACACAGGACCCCTACCTGCAAGGGGCCTACATTTGTATTATGGAATATTAATAATATTATTAATGTGGAATAAATTAACACAGTGCTCTAACATTGAAATAGAATTGAGAGGCCTCCATCTTTTACTTTCACCATTCTTACCACTGGCAGAATTGTTTTGAGTGGCAAGCATTTGCACAATGAATTTTTTTCTTACAGACTGTTTTGACTCAGTCTGTACCTCTTCATTCATTCATTCATTCATTCATTGAATAAAAAGGTACTGAAAGCCTATCATATGCCAGACACTATTCTAAGTGAACAAGAAAACAGACAGTAAAGAAAAAGGACAGGATCTCTTATCTCTAGTGATGGAAAGGCAAGAAATAAAAGACACTGGAAATCACTGAAAGGCAGAGCATGAGCTAAGGCCCCTGGACATAGTAACGCTAGGAAGCTCCCCTTTTGTTCAATAATAATGAACAGAGTGAGTTAGATTTAGAAAGGGATGGGAGAAAACATTTGTTTATTCATTCAACAAATTATTACTGAGCATCTCTACGTGACATGTAACCTGCTAGATTGTGCAGATAGGCAAGGTAGTTCTTTCCAAGCATATAATATTCTAGTGTGGGGAATAATAGAAAAAAAAAAAACCAGGAAAAAAAAAACACCAAAAAAGGGGGATGAGTGCTCTTCAGAGAAATCAAACAGGGCACTTTACGCTGGGGGATGGGGAAATCAAGGCAGGGCTCTGAGAAGGTAACATTTTAACCTAAGCCTGAATGAGAGGGAACTGGCATTCAAAGATTGGGCAAAGAATGTTCTAGACACCAGTGCAAAGGGCCCAGGGCAGTAATGAGCTAGGAATATTTAAAGAGCAGAAAACATGTGTAGCTGGAGCAGAAGGGACAAAAGAAGAATGGTTAGGAGATGAAAGGAGAGGTGGGGGAGTCAGATCATGTAGGCCTTACACTACGATATGGGGAATGGATTGAGAGGAGACTCCTGTAATGACAGACTTGACCAGGGTGGTAGCAAGTAAAGATGGAAAGGCACCAACTGATTAGGAAATACTGTTAACTTTACAGTGCAAAGTCTCCCTCTAAGTCACACCCGGTCTGATGTTATCCCAGTCCCATGTTGGGGGATAGCGGTGTCACTTTGCCAATAAAGGCCCCCAAAGCATAGGGTGCTGTGGGGTGTGCCTGATAACCAACCAGTCACACCTACACCTTTAAATTCTTGAAACTCTGCCTTGAATGGGCCACACGTGCCAAACCCACGACCACTTGAGACATCTAGAACTCCACCTGTGGGTTTCACTTCCCAACAATGGGTACAAATTAAGAAAATAAAACGACTCAAATCCTTAGCTTGCCTATCTTGTAAGCAAATTTAAAAGTTGCCAGCAGGTGAAGACAGGTGCAAGAGGAGGGAGTTGGTACTGCGTTCGGCCTTCAACATTTCCAACGGCCATTTCCCCAGGCCAGGACCCCAAATTCTGGAAATTTGGGGGATGGGGGTAGTGGCAAATCCTTCTATGCCTTGACCTGATTTTATTCATTTTGTACCCAGGCCTAAGGTATTTCCTACAGGGTGGTTGAACCGAAGCTTATCCTTAACGCTTGCACTTTTCAAGGAGACGCAGGGTCTCTCCGGGCATGATTTGCATATTGCAAAGCAGGCTGCAAGCCATCCGCGCCAAGGGGAGAGGGGCGCAGAGAGGAGCGGCTAACGCGGCGGCTTTCTACCCCGCCGCCCAACCACGGCTGGAGCCGTGGCGGCCGCCTCGCACCGCCCTCCGGTTCTCCCACTTGGGACTCGAGGATTGGATCTTGCCTGACACCGCCCCCTCCCCATTGCTGAAGGGAAGGGGCACCCAGTTCCCTGGGCGGCATGTTTTGCAAAAGAGGAAACAAGTACAAACACTGCAAAGGCAAGGGTGTGCGGGGACCCTGGAGCACGCAGACCCCTGGTCATGATACGGCCTCGGCCCAGAGTCCACCAGTAACAATAGGACGGTGGGCAGCCCCGGGATCGTCGTCACTGACCACCTCTAGCCAGCCCTCAGTCCCTTGCGTCCCCCCACGAGTGCGCGCTCCCCTGGGCGCTCGGGCTGCACCCGCGCGCGATGTCCCCCGGCCCCGTTACCTTGTAGAAAGTGACTGTATCCAGGGGAAGGGCACCCTTGGTGTGCAGGCCGCTGCTGCCCGGCGGAGCGGAGAGAAGCAGGAGGAACAAGAAAAAGGGAAACACTGGGGAGAGAGAAGCGGCGCGGAGGACGGCGGCAGCCATAACGCCGGAGTCTGGCAGTGGGCGCGAGAAGGGCTGTAGTGCAGAGAGCGCCGCGTCGGGAGCACGTGACCAGGGGGCCCGCCCCGGAGGCTCACGCCCGCGTAGGGCGAGAGGGAGGGGCCACGTGAAGGGGCGGGGAAACGGGGCTGCGGTGCGCGCGCACTCAGGGAAGCTTGAGCGGTCCCAGGGTGAAAGGGCGGGGCGGC